CTCTCATATGCAATATGCAAGTTGTAACCTCACAATGCGATTAAATAAGGTGACCGTCCTACCTATAAATGAAAAAAAAAATTGCGGTTGACACGTGTCGACACATTATTGGGACTATTTTGTAACGTTTGTCTCCTCACCCAAGCCACTTTAATTTAGGCCATAAATCTATGCCCAACTGTAACCATTAAAGACCTATATATACATTGCATCACATTATTTCCCAAATTTTTCTTTTCCATTTTAATACAACTTTTAACACATCATTTTTCCACCTAACAATTTAGTCTACCCATTATATTAAACTTTACAATATGATGATATTTTTCATGGGATGATCTTAATCTAATCACGGCTAGGTTCAAATCATATAATGTATAACCATTTAAGTAAAGATTCTTTTACAAAACAGACATTTTTCATGGGAATATTTTGAAAAATCAAATTAGACAATAAAAACCAAGAATACAGAATTTACTGAAATCAAATTAGAAACCTTTTTTCGTTAAAGTGTATTTACTGAAATACAGAATTTTTGTTTTCAATAAAAAAAAATTATAACCCTAAAACAATAAAATTATTCCTGTAATTAACATCGAAGTAATTTCATCATTTTTTTGTTTTCTCCCATATGAAAAGAGAAAAGGGATGTTTCAATTTTTAACAGATTAAAAACTAAAGACAAGAAGTTAAGGCATTGGATTAACTACCTACTTTCTTGCTAAATTTGTGTAGTTTTCTCACATCCCAAGGTCTTTTAATCTTTTGACTTTGGAACCGTTTTAGTAGTGTTACTGTTAGCATTTCTTTCATCGTCCTGCCTTGCCACGTGTCATTATAATCCTACACTGGCATTTTCCGTAATTAACTAGCCAACACAAGGGCGAATCCATACCACACCAACTATAAATGAAAAGGCAGAGCATACCGCTAGAGAAGAAACCCAAAACACAGAGCTCTTTAATAACAAAAACAAAGAAAAAGAAAAAAGAGAGAGAGATGGGTTTGGTTACAGAAGAAATCAGAGCTAGGGCAGAGAAATACACAGGAGATGAGATTTGCCGCGAGAAGACAAAGGAGTTCCTCAAGGAAGTATCTATGCCTAATGGGCTATTGCCATTGAAGGACATCGAAGAGGTTGGTTACGACAGAGAATCTGGTGTTGTGTGGCTCAAACAGAAGAAGAGCATCACCCACAAATTCGAAGCCATTGGGAAGCTTGTCTCTTACGGCACTGAGGTCACCGCGGTTGTGGAAACCGGAAAGATCAAGAAGCTGACCGGCGTTAAGGCCAAGGAGCTTCTTATTTGGGTCACTCTCAATGAGCTTGCCTTGGAGCAGCCAACAAGCTCCGGGAAGATCAATTTCAGGACACCGACCGGACTCTCCAGGACTTTCCCAGTGTCTGCTTTTGTGGTACCTGAGGTTGAGAAGCCTGCAATGGAGAAGAACAATGGAACCACTGAGGTCAAAGAAGCTGTTGCACTCACAGATGCTTAGATATTATGAAATCGCTTTCTTAATCTCTCTCACCATCTAAATCATGTATTACTTTCTGCTGCTGCTACTTAATTTTCTACATTAATAAGATCTCAGGTCCTATTTTCCAGACTAAACCGCAATATGTTTCTGTATGTCCAAAACCTATGAACAAGTTCTAATTGTTTAGATCTGAACCTAGTGGACAACTTCTGATGTTAACATTTCAACGGTAAGCTGTGCCTTTTGCTTTAATAAAGGAAACTCAGAGGTTACTTCATAGCCACAACCATTTCTTCAAGTTTCTTGCAAGCTATCACAATTCACGACATCAATACAAGAAAGAGAAGTTATACTATAAATAGGCCAACAACACTTGATCCATTGAGGCAGGTTAAGATTGTCCTGATACCAAACCTAGCCATACCTGATCTAAAACGAAGTATGGCGACGTTTGCTCTTTAATAGTTAGGACCACTCTCCATTACTGTATTCATGCTTAAAGAGATTTGTCCAGTAATGGTAGTTAATCAAAGAAAAAGTCTCAGCCACTTTCAGATTCTGTGTTCTTCAACAATCATTGTTAATTGTTATCATTCATCTTTACTTTCTTCATCTTCGTTACTTGTTTCTTCTGCGATTGAATATCCATCCAACCAATAACTTAACCAGAAACGGCACCAGAGCATAAATATAACAAACCCTCTCCAGTTTACGAAATCGGAAACCAAGTTTTCATCTTTGTGTTTCATGTTCAACTTCCAGTTTCTTGATCATGAACTAGGGAGTCTAAGTCAGGAACATAGCCAGCTTCTCTGGTCTCCTCTATCAGTAACCCCAAGACTGAATACACAGAATTCGCATTAGGACACATTTTATCGCTTACAGCAAAGCTAACAACCTGATTTTCCAACTGGATCCAGCTCATACCAGCTTCTTTTTTGTTCCCCATCATCCTCATCATCTTCCTCACTCTCGCGAAATCCCCCCACTTCCCTTCTGCTGCATAGATGTATGAAAGCATCACATAAGTTCCCACCATTCTCGGTTTCAACTCCATAACTTTTCTTGCAGCTAACCTGCTTATCAATCCTGTGTGTTTATGCGCTTTACAAGCCCCCAGAATTGCTCCCCAGGTGGATTCGTCTGGCTTAAACGGCATCCTCTCAACCAATTCACAAGCCTCGCCTATTTTGCCAGCTCTTCCGAGCAAATCCACCACACAGTTGTAGATATCTCGATCTGGTATAATGCCGTACTCATTTTCCATCACTTTAAAGTACTTCAATCCTTTTTCCACCAGACCGGCATGGCGGCATGCGCTCAGAACCGCCATGAAAACAATCCGGTCAGGTCTTATACCTGAACTAACCATTTTGTCAAAAAGCTCAACAGCTTCTACTCCATAACCGTGTGATCCGTACCCAATCATCATTGAAGTCCAGGATACTAGATTCCTCCTCTCTGCGATTTCACCAAATACTCTTTGAGAGTCTGGTATGTTACCGCATTTAGCATACATGTCGATCAAAGCATTGGCTAACTCAACGTTCTTGTAAAACCCTCTTCTATAAATCCTTCCATGAAGTTGCTGGCCACAGTTCAATGCCACTATATTGGCGCAGGCAGCAACTAAGCTTGTGAAAGTGTAACAATTTGGCACAAAGCCTTGTGATTCAAACCTTTGAAACATGAGCAGAGCTTCGCTGCTGTCTGATCGCTCGAGCTCGGAAATCAAAGTGTTCCATGTAATCAGATCTCTATCTTCCATCTCAAGGAAATAGTGTTTCCCCTCTGCTAAATACCCACATCTGCAATACAAGTCCAGTATAGAGTTCATCACCGGAAGGTTAGACTGAATCCCGCGTTTAATCACTGACGCATGAATTTGCTTGCCGGTTGTAACAGAATCAATTGAAGCGGAAGCTCTAACAGCTATCGTTATACAGTAAGGCGTCACATCTGCATTCTCCTAAACACACAAAACAGATCCCAATGTTAAAACCTCAATTCAAAACATAAGAAATCGACCAAAAAGCGAGGAATGTAGCAATTACCAGCAACATTTGCTTATACATCTTCAAACCGCCAATGCCATCACCCAAGTGCGTAAACCCGGTGATCAGAGTAGTCCAAGTGACATCATTTTTTACCTTGATGTCCCGAAAAATCAAACAAGCAGCATCCATTGTTGCCGAACAAGTAGCATACATGTTCATTAGAGCATTGTCAACGTACAGAGAACCTTCCATACCGAGTTTAACCACAACCCCATGAACCGAACCCCCATAAGCCAAAATCTTCATGTTTCTACAAGATTTGAGGACGCTTGAGAGCGTGAACTCATTCGGGCGCGTTCCATGCCTAAGCATCTCGCGGAAACACTCCCAAGCGTGAGCGTTGTACTCAGAAGAAGCGTAACCAGTTATCATTGCGGTCCAAGCCACCACGTCTCTCTCAGGCATTTCGTCGAACAGTGAGCGTGCTTCCTCAACCAGACCTTTTTCAAAATATGAAACGATGAGATTTGTAGCTAAAATGTGATGCTTCTTGGGTCTATAAGGAGAGTCCGTGCTTTGATTTGACTCGACGCAAGCGTTACGTAGAGAACTCCTGACAAAGTTTGGGATCTGTTTAAACCCATTGGAGCGTACAAGTTTCGTGACGCTCATTGCTTACCTTCAGACCCCAACAGTGTCTGAACACAGCTTATAGAGACTTCTGGGTTCTGTAGTAATTTCACCATTGCCACAATGACAAATTTCGATAGTCTAGGTTAAATATTTTTCCCACTGGTTTGTTAATATCGCAAAGCTAAAGTGATCAAAGTATTTTAAATTAAACGTTTCACTTTTTACCTTAACCAACGCTTCTACATGAAGAAGCTGTAATGGTATAAAACTGTTGCAATTTTGTG